CAAAGGGAATAACAAAGAACATGAAGGCTTATGGATATGCAACAAAGCCATGGGGGTACAACAAACACCATCATACATCATAAATATCATAAATTACCCCAAGGCAACACCAGCATAATACATGCTCAGAACAGATAGCAAGTGCTGAAAAAGTATATAACAGATGGCACATTTGAATTTTTTTCTTGAACTCTCACAGAAAATGGTCTTTCCATATATCAAATATAACCATTGTTCAAAATTACGAAATTAATTATTGAAAATGCTCAAATTAAAATGTCAGCTTCATAAAAGTGCCATTATTACAGGCTTTAAATTTACTATTACATTGCAGGATTGAGTTTTCTATTATTTAAGATAATCAGGACAGATTTAAAATCAAAATTGATACCTGGGCAATGCCTTAAAAAGGGTTAGTTCACCCCAAAATAAAAATTCTGTCATTAATTACTCACCCTCATGTTGTTCCAAACCCGTAAGACCTTCGTTCAGCTTCGGAACACAAATTAAGATATTTTTGATGAAATGTGAGAGCTCTCAGACACTGCATAGACAGCAACGCAACTGTAATGTTCCCAGACAGAAACGTAGTAAGGCCATCGGTAAAACAGTCCATGTGATATCAGTGGCTCAACTTCAGTTTTGTGAAGCTACAAGAATACTTTTTGAGCGCAAAGAAAACAAAAATAACATAATTTATTTAACAATTTTTCTCCCCCGAGTTACGTCTTCCACCATTTTGGAGAGTACCCAAGAGCATAATCGACATAAACAGCTTTGTTTACGTTCGGGGGAGAAAGTGCGCACATGAACGTAATCTGCGTAATCAGTGTTGTTTATGCTTAGGGGAAAGCGTGCGTAAGGCAAACCTTTTACCATTCTGATTATCTTTAGGACTAAAAGGAGTAGTTGCTTCAACTGTTAGAAGGAAAAAACTCAAGTGATTGCGCCGGCGCACACACATTTAAAGTCCCCATGAAATCAAAATTAAAGTTTTTTGGGTGTTAGTATCAATATGTTACTTTAGGGATGTTCATTTCAGTTATTTTTCCTAACCGACAACCAACGCTCCGCTAACCGACAAGATTATTTTAAATTAGAATTTAATTAAATTAGAAAGGATAAGTGTCTGTGACCCGTTAAAAAATACTAACATTTGTTTTCCGGGGATTCATTTTACATGTGCAAAAAGCAGCAAACAACAGAACATGAGGATTCACATGGTGAATGGCACGTAGTGCACTATATAGGGGACAGGGAACGATTCAAACAGTTTAAATATGCTTTCGATTGAGGAAAAAAAGAAGTCTGGTTTTGCGCTGTGTCACGCTAACCAACGCTAACCACACACACTCTGCTCTGGTCCAGAGACACGATAGCACGGAGCGGATCAAATGCGCGAGTCGGCGCAGACCACAAAATGTATCGGAGCTATTTGAATTCTACACAGAATGCTATATTTTATAGCAATATGGATGAGATTGTGGCTGGCATAGCCTGTCAAATGTGGCTTTACGGAGCTCAACGGCTCTGACCGGCTCTAGCCCAAGCTGTGATATAAACGAACGCTATTGGCTATTTTAAAAAGGAGCGGGGCTGCTTGATATGTCCCGCCCTGTCTTCCTGTTTTAGTTAAAATGACGTCAACACAGAGTAATGCTGCGAAAAGGAAGGGGCTTACGAAACAGAGGTATATGATGTAAGGGAATATATGGGGTCAAGGTATGGAGAATATATGCACATTTTCACAGATGCCTCAAAGGATCCAAAAACAGGTCATGTGGGCTCTGCATTTGTAATACCAAAGTTAAAAGTAAATAAGAGCAGTAGAATATCAGATTGTTTATCAGTGTTTACTGGAGAAATGTTTGCAATAATTATGGCAATAAGGTGGATTAGTGAAGTTAAAATATCCAAGGCAGTAATATGTTCAGACTCAAGTTCAGCGTCACGTCACGTGTTCATGAGGATTATGATAGGCTAATCCCATATAGAAAACATCACAAGTAAAATTAATCATGTTTATAAAGATAAACGTGGGTTTATTATAGCCCACCTACAATTTACATTTCAGAGATTAGTACAAATAAATTATTAAATGATAAAACTGAATAAATTTTAAATGAACAAATCTGGCTTTGCATTTGCAACCCTGTGAAAACAGGGGGTGCTGCAGCCCCCCCGTATTAAATCCAGGAAGAAACATGAAATCAGTATTGTTACAGTATTTGGGAAGAACTGGGTTGAACAAGAAGGTATAAGTGTTGTTTTATTTTATTATTTTATTTTCTTTTTCTTTCTTTTTCTCTCTCCTTTCAAATCCCGTTTAAGAGGGCTGAGGGAGGACCGAGGAGCTGAACACGCAGCGCCGGATGAAGCTCTATGACGACTCTAAGCGGGTACAAGAATCAAGGGTGTTTGTATGTGGGTTGGTAGGTTAATCAGGAGATTGTAGATAGAGTGTCAATGGTCCATTTGAGATATAGGTGGCGGTAATGCACTTATAAGTCTGCGATCCGCCGTAAAGCAACAAGAAGAAGAAGAAGAAGAAGAAGAAGAGTAATGCTGCGCGTTTCTAAGCATTTCAGGGGACCTTTAAGCATTGCTACCTTGACAATGCAGCCTGTTCATTAACATAATAAAATACAGTCAGTCAAACATATGGAGAAAAAAAAACTATGTAGTAAAAAAAATGTAGTAAAATCTGTGCCGTTAAGTGTTATCACCGCACCGGATATCTCTACGTAATATAGAGATGTCTTAGGTCTGCATATCTTCAGAAGGCCACTTTTTAAGTTCCTCTATGGGTGAAGGGTGTCAACAATCACAGATGCTTTAACAAGATTACAGCACCCTCTAGTGGCAAATTTAATAAGCACTTTTTAATCTCGAACAGAGTGTGATAAAAGATCTTTTCCTGCTCATCTTCCTTGTTTCTAGTAAATCCACTAATACCTTCATATTTCACACAATTTGTCAGTGAGACACTCATGCAGTTGTTCCACAGCCCTTTATCAAATAAACACTCTCTGGGCTGTACTTGTGTGCTCATTTTGCCCTTGAACGCTGAAGAGGAACTCTGTCAGCCGACTTCCCTGAAGTGTCCTGAGTGCCTTTGGCAATTCAGAGAGTCTCTTCATCTGAATTTCACAACTCAATGGCAGCTGGGTCAGAAATTCTGTGAGAGGGGTTTGCCTGTGTGGCTGAGCAACCACAGACGTGAAAAAGATGAGAAATAGAGGATCCCCATCATGATAGGAGAGCTAATCTGACCTTGAGGACAATCTTAGAGACGTCACCAAGACTCCTGAAGAATAAAAATGATCTGTCTTTCTGACTGTCTGTGGTCAGGGCCGTTTCTAGCCAATTTGACGCCCTAGGCGAAATCCCTATTGCCTATTATTGTCTTTATCTGTTTATTGTTAAAAAAAATTGTTGTTGTTTCTTGAAACATTGGTTTAAAGTGTCAGTTATTGCATTATTATTTCAGTCAAACCTATAAAACCCCTTTCTGTCATGGACACTGAACGTGGCCGGCACAGCAGATATGTGAGCTCTCTGAAGTGCCGGAAGCTTTCTGAATACATGCTTTGCACTCAGAGTTTGCTGGGCTGAGACCAAGGGCCCTCTGCCTCTGCACTACACTTCAACAAAGAGTCAAGCTACATTTGCAATGTCTAAGCCACTTAACGTGACTAGACTCACTTGACAACGAAGACAGAAAAGGCTGTGAAACACTGGTAAAACCTGGAACGTATCACATGATGAAAGTGGAAATAATTGGGAATAAATGCAGCAAAGTTTCAGTCATCTCTTTCTTTCTTTCTTTCTTTTTTTATCTGCTTATATGCTCTTTTAAGGTCCAAAAAAATCTTTTTTTTTTTTTTTTTACTTAACGTGACTAGACTCACTTGACAACGAAGACAGAAAAGGCTGTGAAACACTGGTAAAACCTGGAACGTATCACATGATGTAAGTGGAAATAATTGGGAATAAATGCAGCAAAGTTTCAGTCATCTCTTTCTTTCTTTCTTTCTTTCTTTTGTCTGCTTATATGCTCTTTTAAGGTCCAAAAAAATCATGTTTTTTTTTTTGTTCTATTTATTTTTTTAAGCCTTGTAAGGATCATTTATATCTCCATCATATTAATGCCTTAAGGTCCTTTATTGTTTTCTATTAAAAAAAGCATGCATTTTCATACAAATCAATTCGTAGAAAAAACTAAATCTATCTATCTATCTATCTATCTATTCAAGTGTACTGTAAAACTACTTTCTAAACTTTCTAAACGAGACCATTTCAAATATCTACATATTTAGTTATATGCATCTGATTTCAAGAAGGTCATACAGTATTTCTTGCTATGTCTGACACAAAATGCTGCAGCATTTGATGTAAACCATCTTGCCAATATGGCTCCTTAATCTCAGACTAGACTTAAGTTAAGCAAAGGAATGTTTTGTTCCCCAATCATTCACAGGAACAGCCCCTTTGATGACACAGGGGATCAAAACACTGCCCTCCTCTACATTTCATTCTTCTTTTTTCAAGATGACAGAACATCACAACACATTCCTGAGGGTGTTTTCTATTTTTGCCCCAATGGACAGTGGAGGGCTTTCTTAGGTACAGAAGCATTGCTCTCCATTCAAACGGCCTCCAAACTGACTGATTGATTGATTTATAATATTTTCATTTTTATTTAAGTGTTTACCTAAAACACAGTTCATTCACAATTTGAGGGCCTGTAGACACATACAGGACATGATTGCAGACTAAGATAGGTTTGAGGAACGTACATGCTCTCTTCAGATAGAAAGGGCAAGAGATTAAAGAGGAGAAGAAAAAAGGCAGTAGGAGGGGGTGAGTGTGGGAGGGGAGATGGAGAGTGATGGAGGAGGGTTGGAATGGAGAATTAACACTGGCATTACCACAGAAAAGGACGGAGCAGCCTGTCCAACTCTGGGGGACCTTACATTAGGTCAGACGAGGGCCCCGGAATGAGCAGAACAATGTTTTCTGAGGTAAGGCATCAAGTTAATTTACAAGATTAAATGCTTTTGCACAATTTTGAACAGTGGGTGTCGAGAGCAATGAATTCTGTTTCAAAAGACTAAAAAGTCACATTCTAGGCAAAGAAGAGGAGATCCTTCATTGTGTGTGGGTTTCCTGAGCTATACTTTAGAGACGAGAACATGGCTAAATTTGAAAAAAACTTTATGCTTTAATCTGTAGTCAATTTTTTAAAAAGTGTTAGAAATAATATATATACATACACATTGTAAAATATATGTGTGTGTGTGTGTACCTGTTTTTCTATTCTGGTGGGGACTTAAACCTGAATACACACAGACTCGTGGGGACTCGTGTCACGGTGGGGACCTAAATTGAGGTCCCCACGGGTAAACAAGCTAATAAATCACACATAATGAAGTTTTTTGAAAATCTAAAAATGCAAAAAGTTTCCTGTGAGGGGTAGGTTTAGGGGTAGGGTTGGTGTAGAGCAATACAATATACGGTCTGTACAGTATAAAAACCATTACGCCTATGGAGAGTCCCCACAAGGATAGCTGACCAGACATGTGTGTGTTTTTTTTTATATATACACATATATAATTAAAAAAAATGGCAACATGTTAAACCACAAAGATGTCAGAATTAGCTATATATATGATTATGTGTATTCAAGATATGAATTTCCACAAATCCATGGTCTAACCATAAAGATGAGTTACAGTAAAATTAATTAACTATGTTACTATATGGTAGTGTAATTAAAACCAATCACAGCATTTTTTAAGTTTGCTGAAAATTTGTCACGTCAGTCCTCAGTTCCTCCAGTTGGGTGTCATACTGTAAGAGCAAATTTGTCGTACGCCGGTTTGCTTTAATTTTACGCTTGCTGAACATAAACAAGTAAATATAATTCAGCACATAACCGACAGGCCTGTCATCCGTGGAGGATTAATGAAACCTCTCAGGCATTTCCACTGCCTTCTGTAACACCACCAGAGACTGTGCTATTGATTAACACACATTAAACAACTTCAAAATTAAATGTATAGAAATCAAACATTCAAATCTAATGTCCCAAACCGTTTTCTGTCATCAAGAAGTAAACAAAGAAAACAAGAACTTAAAAGCCTCGAACAAAACCAATCATTCAGTGCAGATACAGAATTATGTTATGTTTTGAGCCTGATACAGTCCTCATCATTACTGCTGTATTTACAATACTGGGGGGATGGGTATAACAGAGGCAGGACGTCCTGTCAATAGCACTCAGAAACTCAGAGAGTGCTTTTATTGATTACTCTGCCTGATTGAAAACAGGTTACTGCATGGTTTTCTTTATACATGAGTCACATATATCATTTTACAAGAAAAACAGAGCAAAAATATGTTTTGGGTCACTTTTGTGTATTCATATCTGTATATTATTTATAAATTATATATTTAATATTATTATTATATAGAATATTATTGCTTATTACATACACACACAAATATAAAAATATAAATTATTTAAATAATTTATGCAATACATAGATAACTTTTCAACAAACATCTGCCATAAAAGTGTGAGAGTTTAGAAAACTCCCTGTTGAATTTAGACAAGTGGATTAGCATCAGGTGCAACATGCGCAAGTAATGATCCCAGACATCTCCATCTGCAGAATAACCTCAACCACTCCACTGGGATTCTTTCTTTAAGTTGACCATTAGGCTAATCCTGTGTGTCCATTAGACGATTATTACACTAGCCAGTATAAGAGCAGTTTTAGGTTGACAGCTCTGCTGAGCTCCACAGTATGTAGTGCTTTCAAGGCAAATTGCAGTCAACTCACAGTGCGTACTCCGTAGATCAACGCTGACGCCTTTTAATTAAGATTAAAAAGATCCCTGTACTGCAAACAGATGTATCCTTGGAATTCAGAGCTCAGACTGGCCAGAAACAGACGATAGCGGAGATTCAGTGTTTGTTTGGGGGATGATTGATGAAGTGACTACAATGAGCTAAACAGGGACAGTGCTGTCAAAACAGAAGCTCTGATCGATATAACCGCCCTCATTGGGTGATCATGGGCTTCTCGGATACACTTGGAAAACTGTGTCAGAATGAAACAGTTTTGGATATTCACTTCACAGCACGTTTTTTATGATCACTCAAGGGGAAACATGTTGCAAATTATTCCTAAACTCTCCTTATTTCCTATTAATATGAAACTATGTAACAGCTAAAGATTTTATTCTTCAGTTGTCAGTTTTGTGATGCATCTCTGAAGCAGAAAATTCTGGGAGAAGTGATGGGCAGCTTTACCCTGAGGCCAGGCCTTCACTAAATTAACTTGATTTATGTTGATTGAATTAAAAAGTAAGTATGCTTCGTAGTGTCTGAGCTGTGCAGCTATTGACCCAGCTGAATTTATGTCTCTAATCTTCCAGGTCGAAATTCTGTACTCAAAAACCAAAGAACAGCTCTGTTTTCTTGACAAGGTAAGCAGATTTTGCCTCAAACAATCAATGACAGTGTCTGCTGCACTCAGCCAAAACTTAATGGTATATCGTTTTATTTTGTTTTTAATGCAGGTTGAACCCCATTCAAGCGTAGGTGACATTAAGAGTTTGTTTCATAAGTCATGTAAGTTTTACCCCACAGTGTCTTTGTGATATTGTAATTTTACCAAGTCAAATATGAAATATTGGTCACATTTTTCCTCAGCTGCGCGTAAGTGTCCTGGTCAGCCTGTCAAGTTTTATTTTGCTATATTTATTTATTTATTTATAATGATTTATTTTTTGAGTAGTGCGTGGACATTAAATAAGCCTACTTTCGCTAAAATAGTCAATTTAAAATGTACAAAACAATCGGCCTAGCATCAATATGAACACTGTAACAATACTATAGTAATAAAATGCTTCTGAGCTGTGCAGCTACTGACCCAGCTGAATTTATGTCTCTAATCTTCCAGGTCGAAATTCTGTGCTCAAAAACCAAAGAACAGCTCTGTTTTCTTGACAAGGTAAGCAGATTTTGCCTCAAACAATCAATGACAGTGTCTGCTGCACTCAGCCAAAACTTAATGGTATATCGTTTTATTTTGTTTTTAATGCAGGTTGAACCCCATTCAAGCGTAGGTGACATTAAGAGTTTGTTTCACAAGTCATGTAAGTTTTACCCCACAATGGCATTGTATTGTAATTTTACCTAGTCAAATATGAAATATTGGTCAAATTTTTCCTTCAGAATGAAACAGTTTTGGATATTCACTTCACAGCACGTTTTTTATGATCACTCAAGGGGAAACATGTTGCAAATTATTCCTAAACTCTCCTTATTTCCTATTAATATGAAACTATGTAACAGCTAAAGATTTTATTCCTCAGTTGTCAGTTTTGTGATGCATCTCTGAAGCAGAAAATTCTGGGAGAAGTGATGGGCAGCTTTACCCTGAGGCCAGGCCTTCACTAAATTAACTTGATTTATGTTGATTGAATTAAAAAGTAAGTATGCTTCGTAGTGTCTGAGCTGTGCAGCTATTGACCCAGCTGAATTTATGTCTCTAATCTTCCAGGTCGAAATTCTGTACTCAAAAACCAAAGAACAGCTCTGTTTTCTTGACAAGGTAAGCAGATTTTGCCTCAAACAATCAATGACAGTGTCTGCTGCACTCAGCCAAAACTTAATGGTATATCGTTTTATTTTGTTTTTAATGCAGGTTGAACCCCATTCAAGCGTAGGTGACATTAAGAGTTTGTTTCATAAGTCATGTAAGTTTTACCCCACAGTGTCTTTTTGATATTGTAATTTTACCAAGTCAAATATGAAATATTGGTCACATTTTTCCTCTGCTGCGCGTAAGGTT